CCCTTAAGTCCCCAATCATGGCTACTAATGATTATAATGATTGGTTGAGCTGTTGTAATCTATTTCAGTGGGGTGCTTATGTAGTGGTCTTGCTTCTGCTCCCCAAAAATGAAATTCATCCAATTGGTTCTGCTATTTAGATTTTTCGATTATAGACATATTTCCTTTCCTGAGGAATACATTGCGATACAATATTTGTGTATCCTTTCTTAGAGCATCAAGATACATCAGATACTGAGGGAATTAGACCAGGCAGTTACTGTCTATATGATATTTTTATTTGCTTTAACAACAAAGCTCACATTAAATGTAAATTATTCTCAGAGGGGAAGAGAAATGTCAACTGATTTGGTCTTACCCTTTCTGTATCCATGGTTTTATATCAAAAGCATATATCTTTTTGAATGCATCATATTTCACAGCTAATAAGTATTGTAGCAACAGACACATTGCAAACTTTGAATCCCAAATTGGCACCTTATTGAAAAGAAATGCAATTCATCACATTGTCCAACTTCGCAGACACAATGAGTTTGGCTGTGTACCCAAGATCTTAAAACCTCACAGGCAAAAACATGGGAATTGTGCTTTTTTTTTTTTTCCCTGCACATTTGGCTTAGGCAAGTATCAACAGATCTGTCAGTCCTGATGTGCACAAGGAAGAATTATGTTATGAGAAGGCTTTTGGTTTTTTAATGAATACTTTGAATTTTTTCCCATGGTCTCTAAGAAGATTTTGCTTGTTTGAATTCAAAGTATGTGTGGGAAGGGGGAGGAAAAACCTCTCTGAAAACACACTCTCTGAAGTGTGTCACTTCAGAGAGGGAACACAGTCTCCAGATTTGCATTCCAAACAAAAATCCCTCCGTATATAAATAAAAGTAGAATTATGGAGAGAGATTATGGAGAGGACAAGTATAATCTGGCATGCATGACCATAAGAACATGGCAATAGTCCTACTGAATTAGATGAAGTTCTGGAAGTCTGGAAATGGGCCCCTTTCCAGCCTCCGGAGCCCGGGGGAAGCTGATTTCACCCTCCCGAAGGCTTGTGAAAAGCCTCCAGAGCCTGGGGAGGGTGAAAATGCCCACACACACACCACCGTGGTGCAGGAGGCCAAGTAGACCACACATCCACCATGCCCATGCCTATGCAGCAACTGGGCAGAGAACCGGTTGCTAAAATTTTTGAATCCCACCCCTGGACAAGGAGAACACTTTTCCCTTGCAAATTTCTCCATGCCATGCATGGTTTTATCCACCTTGATCAGACACCTTCTATCAGGCACGAAGAATTAGGACCACGTGTAAAGTTCCAGTTAAGTTGCCTAAGTATGGTTTTACTAAGGCTTTATAAAGGGGTACTAGTCCTTCACATGATCTTAAGATGAATGAAAATGACAGGGGGGGGAAAAATTGTAGAAATGTAGACAATTATCTAACAAACTGAATGCTGGGTCAAGCTACAATATGGCCTTTAAACCAGTTTTTAGAAATTTTAGAATTCCAAAGGGCCACTTAGGCCACCGAGGGCATTTTCTATTGCTAGAGAAAAAGCAAAGTTTTCGGCATTCCAGACAGGATGTCATAGAATGTGACTAATAAAAGTAGATAAAGCTGAAAACATTAAGATTCTTTCAGTGCTATAATGATATTGTGTGACCATTATATAAATCAAGATGCACTTTAGCAAAATGGCCAGCAGAATCCGCAACAATTTTTTCTTAAATGCTGAAAGGGACAGTAGGCAAATGTCATTCAGTACAGCGCAGCAGTCTTAAGAACTGCAATAGCAATTTAGGATTAATTTATCACCTGCCACTATACATTTTTATAAAGTAAGCAAACAAGCACTCAGTTTCTACATATTTTTAAAGCAGTATTCTTTTATGATAAACCAAGAAACAAATTCAGCAGTGGATATTTAAAAAAATCTAGCAATGCAACAGAATTTTAATGCAAAACTGAGCAAATTATGCCATATTCAAATTGGTCACTCTCATTATGCTACCTGAAAATAATTTCATTTCATTCTCCCATATCTGTATCTAGTGTGACATTTATTGTTGATTTCTGTATATATTTACATCCAAATTCTTGTTTTGAGTTTACATTTCTACATGGATTTGCAATTAATTGTCATTGGTTCAATTAGACAATATACCACCCATTAAATTGTGCATAGCTATCAAATACTGATAGTTTAAAAACAATGAAAAACTTTGTGGCATTATAAAAGCTAACCACCTTTATACTAAAAACTTTTGTATAATGGGTATCATTAAGTGCATCACCCAATGCATGGCATATTATTCTTGGCAAGTCTAGAGAAGGGAGGGAAGATTCCGTTCTATGAAGAACGGTTTGCAGGAATTGGGTATGGCTAATCTAGAGAAAAGAAGGACTAGGGGGGGACATGATAGCAGTATTCCAGTATTTGAGGAGCTACCACAAAGAAGAGTGGGTAAACTTATTTTCTAAAGCGCCAGAAGGCAAGACAAGAAACAATGGATGGAAACTAATCAAGGAGAGAAGCAACCTGGTATTAAGGAGAAACTTCATTACAGTGAGGACAATCCGCTAGTGGAACAGCTTGCCTTCAGAAGTTGGGTGCTTCATCACTGGAGGTTTTTAAGAAAAGACAGGACAGCCATCTATCTGAAATGATACAGGGTCTTCTGCTTGAGCGGATTAGAAGACTTCCAAGGTCCCTTCCAGTTCTATTCTGATTGATTGATTGATTAAACAATGTACAGGTAGGTAGTCTTTGACTTACAACCAGTTGCTTAGCAATGGTACAACAGATCTACCGTGGGACTTCTTACTACCCAGATTCGAAGTTCTGACAGACATCCCATTCTGCTGTGGCCATGTGACTGAACCTCAGGCACTTGGCAACACAATCACATTTACAGTCATTTGTAGCATCCTGTGGTCATGTGTCCACATTTTACCTCAGTTTTGCTGAATACCAGCACTTCTGGATTTTAGCAAAATCACATTCATACCATACCATTGGTTCATTTAACAACAACGGCATTCGTTTAAAAACTGTGAATTTGCCTAATGACCACTACAAAAAAAGGTCATAAAATTGTCTCAGTCACATGACCAACTCATTTTATAACCTTCATGACTTAGGAACTTGATAGGCAGACTCCATTATTATAGTCAGAATTCAAGGACTACCTGTACTGTAGTCAGGAAAAAAAATGAAGGGCAGAAGGTAAAGACAGTGGTTTTTAGAAAACAGAATTAAATGTGATGCAGACAATGGAATCAGTTAACACATTACATTTTATTGTTGTTTAATTCTTGGGCGTAGTGTTGATGAATTGATGGATTCTAGCTTAGTTCTTTTACTGTGAAACAGATCTTGGGTGAGGAAGAAAAAAAAATAAAGTGATTTGATTCCACCAGCTTTCTCCTCAGGACTTTTACTCATAGCCCTGGAAGATTTGTCATAGGGAAAATACTGTAGTTTTAGAAATACAAAAGTGATTTTCCAACCCTTATCTAATACTTCTCATCCTCCTCTCCTCATTATTATTTCTTCTTGTGAAATGAGACACATAAAAGAATCTACTGTTGCAGGGGAATTGGGAGCCTGGATATTAACACAATCAATGAACCATGAGTAGCTACACAGCATCAAGCTACATACAGTGCCCAGCATGAGAATTATTCTGCAATACAACTCATCTATTTATCTTCAGTACTTACATCAGACTGCTGACCTATAAAATGTACATCTGAGTGGATTTCAAAGACCTAAGTTCAAATCTCTCCTAAGGGTCTAACAAAATATTAGAAGCAGCAGCAAATGGCTGTGATATCACTGCCCTGCAAAACCTCTGTATGAGACAGAGACATGGTGTAATGGATGCATAAAGATTGGGAAGTATTTGTTAACAACAACGGAATGGAGATGTTAATGATTGTTGGACAGCAAGCTACAGAATACTTAGAAATGCCGCCACAATTGATTCTGGGATTATTCCTACAGCAGCACTTCCATACATGTGTTGTACACGCAACGGTCCCAATTCTGCAGCTGACACTTTTAGTCCAAATATCAAAACTCAGATTTTTGTGTGTTTGTTTATGTGCTGCCCCACTCACTCTCTCTCACACACACACACGATATCACTTCTGGAATTTGTGCTTGTGAGGGAAAAAAATGAAACTTTGATTTTGGTTTTGTTGGTTAGAAAGATTTGGTGCTATAGAAATGGCTAGTTATACCATGTTTTCCCGAAAATAAGACCCTGTTTTATATTTTTTTGAACCCCGAAATAAGCGCTTGGCCTTATTTTCAGGGAGGTCTTATTATTTTGGGGCGCGTGGAGAAAACCACGTGCCCCAAAGGAAATGGTGGGGACCGGTTGTGCATGCATTTAAATATTTTCAGGGAGGGCTTATTTTCAGGGGGGCTTATTTTAGTGCCTCAAAAGCCCAATTGAGCTTATTATCAGGGGAGGTCTTATTTTAGGGGAAACAGGGTATATTAATATGTAAAAGCAAAAAGTTGAGGTTGGAGTGTATTTATCTTGTACTGTGCTAGGAAGGGTTAGAAGTCAATGCCCCCCTTTTCTTTCTTTTTTTTTCTTCCCCCTTGTCTTTCACACTCATTTTTCCCATCCCCTTTCCTTTCCTTAATTTCCTATTTTCTTTTCTTTTTCTTTTTTGTATTTTATACAATAAAAATAAAAAAAGGAAAGAGGTAACTTCCAATGAGTGCTAAGCAACCAGTTATAAATTGAGGATTGCCTGTAACTGAGAACGCTGGTGGGAATAACGCATTGTAAACCGCCCTGAGTCTCTGGAGAAGGGCGGTATATAAATTAAAGCAAAAAAAAAAAAGAATAGATTGTTACGAGGATTATGTTGTCTATCCCAAATGCTCAAAGGAAGCAGTTCTTCCATTTTTGCAAATCTATATTCATAATGTGTTTGAGCAGATGCTATTGTATTGCTTATTTTTTCTTCCCCCCCCACAGCAAGCATCTTCTGCGGATTTAATGATCAGGAACATCCTTCTGATGCATGCTGGAAGATATGGCTGCAGGGTGCAATCTACAGCAGATAGTATATCAGATGAGGCAGAACTTCTTGTTAGGGGTGAGTATACTAATCACAGAAGACAAGATCAGCATAAATAATTGTACAACCCAGTTGAAATATAGACATTGATGCTGATCTCATGGCTATGGGGTTGTTGTTGTTGTTTTTAAATAACTTTATTAAAAATTACGTTATACAAATAAAACTTGATATTACTAACTAGATAATACAGAACTACATTTTTTTAAAAAATTAAAAAGCACAGAAAAAGGAAAGAAGGAAGAAAGGAAAGTAAGAAAAATAGAAGAAACTTTATTCCCAGCAGCTATAATCAACACTAATTTATCGCAGTCTCTTAAAATACAACCATACCAGAGGTGGGTTTCAGCAGGTTCTGACCAGTTCTGGAGAACTGGTAGTGGAAATTTTGAGTAGTTCGGAGAACCGGTAAATACCACCTCTGGCTGCCCCCTCCCCCATCTATTCTCTGCCTCCCGAGTCCCAGCTGATCGGGAGGAATTGAGGATTTTGCAGTAACCTTCCCCTGGAGTGGGGAGGGAATGGAGATTTTACAGTATCCTTCCCTTGCCACGCCCACCAAGCCACGCCCACCAAGCCATGCCACGCCCACCAAGCCACATCCACAGAACCAGTAGTAAACATTTTTTAAACCCACCACTGAACCATATCCCCCCTTTTCATTTCATATCTCACCCCATTCTCTATAAGCCCAACTCTAAAATCTCATCTTTCTATATTAATCAATTAGAGTTCATTACAAAGTTATCAGAAATAAAAACATCAATATTATCCCAAAGGTCCTTTTTCAGGAGGCAACTGGACTTTCTTGTTTTTTCTTTGAAGACATTTCATTTCTCATCCAAGAAGCTTCTTCAGCGCTGACTGGATGGCTATTTAGCTATGCAATTTGGGATGAACACCCTTCAAATGGTTGTGGGAGTATGAATGGATTTCCAGAGGAAAAAATTGCAGACTAAAGGAACCAGGAGCACTACTGAGGTGACCCTGAGGACCCAGATAAACCTCTAGGTGGCCTCAACAACTCTCTAGAAGGATGCAAATGACCAGCTGTCTGCAAGGAGTATAAATCCTTCCATTCCCTGCTATCCTGCCAGAGCTGAAGAAGCTTCTTGGATGAGAAGCAAAATGTCTTCAAAGAAAAAACAAGAAAGTCCAGTTGCCTCCTGAAAAAGCAACTTTGGGATAACCATGACCTGGATGAATGAGAATCTCCACAGACTTTCAACATAAATATTACCAATTATATCTTTTGCACCCAATTTGAATCCTTCCTTTCCATTTAAACACATCAAAAGGCAATTATACGTGGACCTCAACTTAGGACCAATTGTTTAATGACATTACACATTACACATTCAACATTACAATGGCTTGAGAAAGGGTATTCTGGCCATTGTAAAACATTGTACTGCCTCTCCATGACCATATCTGGGTGCTTGGCAATCTATTCGCAGTTTGATTGCTAAGCAATGGTTTTATTTATTATTATTTGTTTGTATCCCATCTTTATTATTTTTACAAATATTCAAGGCAGAAAACATATCCAACATACTTCCTCCTCTTATTTTTACCACAACAACAGTAACAACCCTGTGAGATGAGGTGAAAGAGAGTGGCTGGCTCAACAATACCCAGTTGGCTTTCGTGGTTAAGGGCAGGATTTGAACTCATGGTCTCTTGCTGGTGCCTTAACCACTAGACCAAACTGGCTCTCTAATCCCATTTATACTCTTCTCTTCTGGCTTCCCCAGAAAGTCAGTGGGAAAGCTGGCAGGGGAAGTTGAAAGCTGCTGCCATCTACCAAGAGGCGTGTCTTCCATGCGCTTCCCTTCTGAGCATGTGGGGTGCTGAATTTCTTCTATGGGGTTGAAGAAACAGAGCTCAGATTCCAAAGATCTCAGTTCCATTCCTGCAGCCAGCTGGAAAAATTCTTTTCCAGACATGGAAAGTAGTCAAATTGCTCTGGTGAGGTACAGAAACAGATCCCAGATCAGTGGTGGGTTACCCCCGGTTTGGACCAGTTCTATAGAACAGGTAGTAAAACCGGTGGGAGACTCCGCCCATTGACCTCGACATCATCAGGAAGTGAGCATACGTGCGCGGCCCCGTTACGAACCGGTAGTAAAGGTAAGGTAGAACCCACCCCTGCCCCAGATGATCTCAAAGACACAAACTCCATTCCTGCAGCCTGTTGCTGCAGTTCCCTTCTGCACACAGAGGGGAGCTGAACTCCTTTGGCAGAGTGAAGAAACAAGAGTTCAAATCCCAAAGACCTAAGCTTTGTTTGCCAAACGGCCTTTCGCAAGGCCAGTTCAAGCATTATAGCTAGTCTTCGGATTATGGCCGCAACGGAGCCCAAAATTTCTGTTGTTAAGTGAATTTTGCCCCTTTTTATGACCTCTCTTGCCACAGTTGTTAAGTGAATCACTCCAGGTGTTAAGTTAATAACAGGGTTGTAAAATGAATCTGGCTCCCCCATTGACTTTGTCTCAATGAATAGGTTTTATGGGTTAGTTTTTTAATTGTATAGCTTGGGGTTTTAAATTGGGAGGCCGATTAATTTAATTTATTTTTAGTTATCTTAACTTTTATATTATATGTTATTTTAATTTTCGGCTGTTCACCGCCCTGAGTCCCTTCGGGGAGAAGGGCGGGATATAAATTCAATAAATAAATAAATAAATGCAGCATTAACTCAAAGTCACTTAACCAATTTTTTAAAAAAGTTTTTTTTTTAAATGCACATTATATCTGTTTTAATTACGATGCTCACTGAGGATTCCACAAATTGAGGATTGAATCTGCTTCTCATCCCAAATTATTTATCTTATTTTTGGTTTAAAAAATGGAAGATGGGGCAAAGAGAAATTTAGTGTTTACATCCTGGTCATCCACAGAAGGGGATCATGCAATCCCAGGACCCTGCAATCGTCATAAATATGAATCAGTTGCTGAGCGTCTGAATTTTGATCACATGGCAGTGGTCGTAAGTGTGAAAAATAGTCATTGATCTGTCCCCGTCCCCACACACACACACACAGCCAGCCGAGGGTTAAGGAAACACTTTGGAACGCACCCAGTTCTTATCTCCGACTTGGCAGCGATAGACACACCGTCTGCCAAGGGTCTTTATTTGCACAAACAGACAGATAAAATACGAACGTTCAAGAAAGTCCAAACAGAAATAATATTCCTCCCAGCAGTTCCGGACGAGGCTTTAGTGACTCCAAGGTTTTGCTTTGTTCGTCACAAAAGATCCTTGACCACCACTCTCTATTATATAGTCTCTGGGGTGTGGTCTCTGGGGTGTGGTCCAGTGACTCAGTGCTAATCCCTAGCACGCCTCCTAAACTGCTGCAAACGTTTATCACGCCTTCGGAGGCGTGCGTCCAGGAATGATGTCTCATTATCACTTTGACTGGAATCAGCTGTCTCCTCTCCCTCGACCGGCACTTGAGACAATGCCAGAGGGGAGGGGCCTGGAGAGGGAGGCCTGGCTGACTCCTCTTCCTCATGCTCGGAGCTTTCTTCCTCCGATGGGACAGGCTCAGAGGGCGGGGCCACAACAGTCATAAGTAACTTTTTGTTAGTGCCGCTGTAACTTTGAACGGTCATTAAAGGAACTGTTTGTAAATTGAGGACTACTTGTACTACTAAAATCTGCCTTCTGCCCTTAAAATGTCAGTTGTTGCTGAACAGACTACCGTGTTTCCCCGAAAAGAAGACCCTGTCTTATATTCTTTTGAACCCTGAAATAAGCGCTTGGCCTTATTGCCATGCGCTCAAAAGCCCGATTGGGCTTATTATCAGGGGATGTCTTATTTTGGGGGAAACAGGGTAGCAATGTTTAGGTGTACCTTCATAGCTTGCATAAGAATGAGGTATAGTTGATCCCTTTTCATATTATTGACGAATCAAATTTTTTAGCTCAATTTTTGATACTGATCCAGAACAAATTTGCTCTTCCTATTGGGATTCAGCCTTGCCAACTTTTATTTATTTGCACATCTTACCAGCTTCCTGTGTTTTTTCACTTGGCATGACATACGCATGCAGTAAAGTCTATTGCCTAGTGTTTCTTGATTTGCTTCCCTGTATAATTCAGGATAACTCAGAACCATAACATTCTTATCAGTTCATTATGTGAACGTAGGACTACCTTATTACTCCAGTAAAAACTTGATACACTGAATCAATACCCATTTCATAGTCAGCTGTATTAACTTCTCCAGAATGCTTAAAGTTGTCAAGTTTCTTGCCTTTTTATTCTGTATTTCACAGAATCTTTGGCAACGCCGTTTTATATTGAAACTCTGTATAATCTCTAATATGTGCTGTGCAGCCCTACAAAGGTTTTTTTTTTTTTTGCTAAAAGATAAATGCACAGCTGGATCAAATCTCCACACCTGTAATTTGCAAACAAAAAGTATTTTATTTAAATGGATGACACTCTTTTCCAACCACAAATTGAAAGTGTGGGGGACAGTTAAGAATTATAGAGCTTTATTTCTGCGAATCTATTCATAGCCTAATGCTTTTGTAACAAAAGCAGATAATTCCCCTCATTTTGTTCTGCTTAAATTTTCTATTTCTAGATAAAGTTGCTTCTCTTCTCTTCTCTTCTCTTCTCTTCTCTTCTCTTCTCTTCTCTACTCTTCTCTTCTCTTCTCTTCCCTTCCCTTCCCTTCCCTTCCCTTCTCTCCAAGTCCCCATTTACATGATAACTTCTTCCTTATTCAAACAAGTTTACTCTCGAAAGCTTGACAGATATAACTCTTTTAGTCTCTATATGGGGTTTAGATTGCATTCTCCATAACTCGGCTTGGGGCCATCTATTATGTTTGAGATTACAAAGCACACCCAAAGTGCAAACCACAAAGAATCAGCTGTTTTCCAAGAAATCCCACTGGTACATTACAAAAATGTGTTTGTCAGAAGAGTCCGTACTCTTTTTAAATAGTAATCATAATCATAATCCACCAGAGTCAGTTGAGGAAGAAAAAAAAGGCATTGGA